TTTTGTAGGATTTTTATGGGAAAAACTGAGAGAAAGTAGAAATGGGAATTTCTTGGATATTTTACAAACATTTTATTACATTATTAAAATGTTTTTAAAAACATTTATTTGACGTTTTTTTAGGAAAAAAAAAATACTTTGAGAGCAGCTTTTCCTGGAATGAAAATAAAATTTAAGTTTGAATGAAAAATAATAAATTATTTTAATTAATTTTCGTTTTCATTTTTATTCATATTCAATGATTTGATAAATAATATAAAATCCCAAAAATACCAAATTTCAGTTGGAAAAATCCCTAAAAAAATCCCAAAATCCCAATARCTTCCACTATCCCAGGGGTGGAATAAAGTAGGATGATTTCCTAAAAAAAAAACCCTTAAAAAAATCCTGAAATCCCAATAAGTTCCTCTGTCCCAGGGATGGAATAAAGCGGATGAATCCCCAAAAAAAATCCCCCAAAAAAATCCCAAAATCTCAATAACCTTCCCCTATCCCAGGAGTGAAAGAAAGGGGATGATTCCCTAAAAAATCAAAAAAAAAATCCCTATAATCTTCCGCTGTGCCAGAGATGGAATAAAAGGGATGATTCCCCAAAAAAATCCCAAAATAATCCCAAAAAAAATCCCCAAAAAAATCCCAAAACCTCTTTGGGAATGGGATGGGCATGGTTGGGGGGCGTGGTCATGAAGGGGGCGTGGTTAATGTAATGGGCGTGGTTACGGCGCGTTCGCGCTCCGCGGGAGGTTTGGCCCGCGCCGGCYGCCGTCGCGCCCCGCCCGCCATATTGTGGCCGGCGCAGGCGGAGCGGCGGCCGGCGATGGGTGAGGGGGGCCGGGCCGGGCCTGAGGGGGGAACCGGCGGGGAACGGGCGGAACGGGCGTGGGGAGGGGGGGAGAGCCCGCTCGGCGGCCGCGGGGAGCGGCCCGGACGGCGGGCGGGGCGCGGGAGAGGCCCGCGGATCGCTCCGCCCCGCCGCGCTGAGGGGGGCGGCTCCCGCGCCGCGGCCTCGCCCGGAGCCCCCGAACCCCTCAGAGCCCCCTCACAGCCCCTCAGTGCCCCTCACAGCCCCTCAGAGCCCTCACAGCCCCTCAGAGCCCACTCAGAGCCCCTCAGCCGCCCTCACAGCCCCTCAGCGCCCCTCACAGCCCCTCACAGCCTCTCACAGCTCCTCACAGCCCCCTCAGAGACTCTCAGAGCCCCGCGGCTTCGGGGAGTGCTCAGGATTCCTCCCGGAGCGTTCCATGGCGCTCCCATGCGGGTTTTGAGTGTCCCGGTGGGGTTTTGAAAGCCCCCGAGGGTCCCGCCGCAGTTCTGGCCGGGCCCTCAGAGCCCC